AAGTGTGCAAAGTTTCAAAGCCATATGTCAATGGACTTTGAAAATATTTGAACTATTACAAAAACTTTAACGTAAATTCTAAGTCGAAAAAGGGGCATAATTCTGTCAAAATGCTTGATAGAGTTAACCTCCTCTTGTCTACAGGTTGGGGTCATGATGGTGAACAAGTGTGCAAAGTTTCAAAGCCATATGTCTATGGACTATGAAAATATTTGAACTATTACAAAAACTTTAACGTAAATTCTAAGTCGAAAAAGGGCATAATTCTGTCAAAATGCTTGATAGAGTTTACCTCCTCTTGTCTACAGGTTGGGGTCATGATGGTGAACAAGTGTGCAAAGTTTCAAAGCCATATGTCAATGGACTTTTGAAAATATTTGAACTATTACAAAAACTTTAACGTAAATTCTAAGTCGAAAAAGGGGCATAATTCTGTCAAAATGCTTGATAGAGTTACCTCCTCCTGTCTACAGGTTGGGGTCATGATGGTAAACAAGTGTGCAAAGTTTCAAAGCCATATGTCTATGGACTTTGAAAATATTTGAACTATTACAAAAACTTTAACATAAGTGGTTACGCCGACGCCGACGCTCGGGTGACTGCAATAGCTCTACTTATTCTTATCGAATAGTCGAGCTAAAAATAAGAAATGCAGAACAGCAGTTTCTGTGCACTGCACTTCTTATCAATAAGATCTATCATCCTTTTAAGTTTCAAGTCTAAAGCTTTTCTAATTTATGAGAAATGGCCTGGACAAAAATAAAGTTATAAAATTAACAAGGGCAATAACTCAAAAAATAAGAAATGCAGAGTACCATTTCTTGAGCACTGCACTTCTTCTTAATGAGATCTATCATCAGATGAAGTTTCAAGTCCATAGCTTTTTTATTTTAGGAGAAATGGCCCAGACAAAAATAAAGTATGAAAATTAACAAAGGGCAATAACACAAACAATAAGAATTCAGAGTACCAGTTCTTGTGCACTGCACTTCTTCTAAATGAGATCTATCATCAGATGAAGTTTCAAGTCAATAGATTTTATACTTTAGGAGAAATGGCCTGGACAAAAATAAAGTATGAAAATTAATAAAGGGCAATAACTAAAAAAATAAGAAGTGCAGAGTTCCGATTCTTGTGCACTGCACTTTGGGTCATTATAAGAAGCATGCATACCAAGTTTGAAGTCAATCCGACTTATAATAACTGACTTATGGTCAAGCTTTAGGGGACGCCGACACCGACAACGACACCGCCGACTAAAGTAACCCCTATATGACGCCTTTCTCAAGGCGACACAATAAAAGAAAGTGTTTAAAAAAATCAGTAAATGTTTATAATCCATTCAAGACTGAATATGTTACATGGGAACAATATACATGTGATAACAGAAATGTGCAAATGGATTTAAGCCTTTTTAGGGGCTCAAAACTTGTTGGGTTTTTTTTATTAACTCTAATTTCAACTTGTGTTTAGCACATCTGGTATAAAGAACCCTGAAAATGACATGTGTTTTAAGATCTGATTCATGGTTTAATTAACAATATTATATTGCAAAAAAATATCTATGGCCATAAGCCAATAAAACACATTCAAATTTCAATTATTTTCAGTTTGCATACATTTTAAACAACTGAGTGTCTTTTCAGACATTCAATAAATGAAAACATGTCTGGCATAAATCACCATCAAGACACATGTCAAAAAGTACTTGACACTTAATTTTTTCTTACATGAAATGTAAATTTGAAAACCTACTAGTATAATTAACGCAATAAATAATGCGAAATACGATTGAATATTCTATCCTAATAATCAATCCCTAATGAAATAAGTGTTACTTTTGGTTCTGTGCTGCTAATCATGGTTGAAACTGGTGCTACTCATTTTGAAATTTTGCCTAAAAATCATTAATGATTTTGCCTCGGCTGAAATATGGACAAGTCTCTTTTTAATATTTAACATAATTTGGATTAACAAAAGTACATTGAATGTAAAATTGGCTTGAGCAACATTTTAGTATAAAATAGCACTGAAAAATCACGGGTCAGTGGCTTAAATATTTATTACTAATATCTATGTGTTCTTTCTACCAATGATTTAAGTGATTACAAACATCATACAGAATAAGTGAACGGTTAATATTATTGGAATTAGGGTCTACTAAAGTAAAAAGACTTGTTCTTTTATGGTTATTTGTGAGCTATACAGGATCTGGGAGTGAAATTTATAACATTTGAAAATTGGTGAAAATCATGTTGAAATATAAGCTGTAACTTAAGTTTAAATATACACTCTGAATTTGATTACAAAGGAGGAATAAGTCAATTTTAAATCATCAAGGATTCTTTGAATTATAGGAGCAATTATTTTTTCCTTAAAAATATCTATATTCTATCATACTTTTTATCACTATTTTGAGGAAAATATTCAAAACTATTTTAACTTCACAAAAGAAATTCCCACATACAAAAATACTCATAAACAACATTATTTTATCAAGAACATGCAGACAACAAAACTTTATGATTAATACAACAAATAGGAAAAAAGTCAATGGCCATAAATAAATATATCAAAATACTGTATGTGAAAAAATTCCAGACAAGTGCAACTTGAAGCAGGTAGAATGAAACTTACAACAGGTACAGGGAAAAAAAGATGAACCACATTGCAAAATATATTTGTTCACTGTAAAGAACTGACTTATCCACAAGATCAAATCATGCTAATCAAAACATGACTATCAGTAACATCCATGGATGGTCAACACTGTCACTTTGAAAAAAGTAAAAATCACAGTCTTAGTATGACAAATATTAGGAAAATCTAGAAAACATGACCTTGACCCTATCTGCATTAACTTCTCCTTAAAGAGGTACATAAAAGGTACCAGTTGATCAACTTAGGTTTCCTGGTTAATTACCAGTTACCATTAGATCTACACTCAGAGTCACTTATAATCCGACACTTTTTCGGTATAAATTGGTTATTTGTGAACAGATTTTGTTCAACTTTTGGACCATACAAAATGCAACATTTCATACTTACTACTTAGAATTATATCAACTATTTATTGATAAGAAAAAAGAGAAAATAACAAAGCAAATATGCTTCTGCAAAATGAAAATTAACAGAATGGCTTTAAATATCGTAACAAAATTTGTCACAATTTTTACAATCATTCTGTGATTTTTCATTTTACAGTACCCTAGCCTATTTGTTTTTGATATTTTTTTCTATTTTCTTTTATTCCAAATAACCTATTTATACAGAAAAAATGTAAGTGTCGGGCTGTGAGTGCCTCTGAGTGTATATGTAAAATAAACTGTTATGCATAAATGTACTCTCCTCTCCTGAGGATAAAACCAGCTGCTTTATTGACATCCTTATTTTTCTTTTGATGTGATAATGTTCTAGCCACATTAGAGGCACATAATGAAAAGCATCAAAGACAATTCACTAGTCCCTATCATTCTAACAGTTATCTGACTGTCCACAAGTCAGTACAAAAAAAACAACCTGGCAATTATATGTATATTCTCCTTTAAAAAATATGGGAGTAACATATCTTACAAAAATACAGTAAACATTTTCCCTGACAACTAAATAAACAAAGTTCTTTTATGTAAAAAAAATAAGTTCTTTTATGTAAAAAATAAGTTCTTTTATGTAAAAAATAAGTTCTGATATGCAAAAAAATGCTATGCATAAAAATAATGTAAAAAAAAGAAAAAGAAGTCATCAAGGCATTCAAAAAATAATTATAAAATGGCAGGAATAAAACAAAAAGGGCAAAAATAATGGCATTCAAACATTCTGGAAATAAAATGTTTACTTTACCTCACTTTTCTCTTTCTAGAAAAATAAACATGGCATTATAGAAATAATGTATAAAATTGCTTTCTTAAGGCTACATGGGGTAAATATGAAATTTCTAAGGATGCAATTTAGCTTTTCTTTATTAAAAGAAAAAAACAAACAAACAAAAAGCTTTAACCAGCAGTGGTTAAAATATAATTCAAAAGCTGTCTACACAAAAATTTCCATTTTTCCATTTATTTTTTTTTTCATTTTTTCTCTTTTTTACTTTTCATGTTCAACATCCTTGCTATTATTTATTTGGCAAGACATACAGGTGGAAGAAGATATCAACACTTTTTTTTATAATTTGGGCAACATGTTGACTTAAATCTTTTATTTTTAAATCTTATCTATACAACCATGCGAGTAAATTATATCCACACTTTGTGTGTTTAATTCATCTCACTTTATGATATCCATCACTTGTAAATGAGCCACAGCCTGACAAAGCCAATATAGTGTGTTTGTGACCAGCATGGGTTCAGACCAGCCTGCACATCTGCGCAGTCTTATCGGGATCAATGCTGTTTGCTTACAAACCCTATTACAAGTAGAGAAACTGATAGCGAACAGCATGGATCCTGATCAAACTGCACAGATGTACAGGCTGGTCTGGATCAATGCTGGTCGCAAACACGCTATGTTGGTTTTATCATGGTTCATCTCAAATCTCATATCAATTCTATATCTGATGTAAATATGAACTGAAAAAGGTAATATATCAAGGTTCCAAGACATCTTAATCACTTTATGTTTCAAATATGTGTATGTGGATAGGATTTTGCATAAGTCACACTTGACTTGTTTTCCAATCCACGACACCTATTAGTGTGTTTGTATATGCTTAATGAATATATTTATGTTGTACAAATCAAAATAAATTGTCTACACTAAATATGTTTATCCCAACACTTTCGTTACTGTTTCTTTTTTGACGGTCCCGCTAAGTTGAAATAACAAGAGTTGATTGTACAATAAAATTTACAAGAATGACCCATGACCTTCTATAAAACAAAGCATTTTTTACAGTAAAGGCATGAAGGCAAACAAAATACCCCACAATAAACTGCACCTTAGCTAATTCAGAAATATTACCACTCTTGTTTATCAAGGTACATGTAAATATCATATTCACTTACTATGATCCTATGAAGATTCTGAAGCACGACTTTATGAATGTTCGCCACAGATCTAAACTGCACAAAGATAATCTCTAGCAATTCTAGGAGCTGCCTCGGCTGGTACTGTGTCATCAGATTCTCTCCCTGGTTCCCTATACTGTAATGTTAATGAAAGTTAAAAAGAACATTAATGATTATAGCAGTTATTCATAGTTTTCTTAAAATTGTGTTAAAACTTCATACTCAATACTTCATATTGCACAACAAGTTTTTTTGGGGGCTTTTCTTCCAAATTCACCTAATTTCCAGACTTGATAAATAATTTTCCAACTAAATGGGCAAAAATTTATTCTAAAAAGGGTAAAAGTGAATGAAATCTGTTCTAAAAAGGGTGGAACTGAAAGAAAAACCATACCAAACAGGGTGGAAGTGTAGAAAAAAAAAACGTAGAACATTACATGGTCATCATTGCTTTTAATATGAAACATTAACAGAAAAAAACCTATTTCCAAATATACAACAACGTTTATCATCAAACATGTTAGTAAATACAATACAATTACCTGTCAGCAACCTGATTAGAGGCTCTAGCTACTATAGCAATCAACTCAGGATGCATCCTCATCTTAATGGCCTGAAAAATATCAATATAAGATATTGGATTCCCTAGGTTTGTGCTTTATAAATTTTTACAGCTCTTTGGTTATTTTATACGTCATACCAACCCTTTTCAAAGTCATAAATAATATTAAATACTTTATTTAAAGAGGCAACACAGTGAGGCATGCCCAGTCTTCCATATGAGACTGTAGATTCACTTCCTAACATGTTAGAGTTAAACATGCCTCGCTGGATTAGAATTAGAAGTCCATGGCATTTACACTTCTCTTACATAAATACAGCACTATTCAATTCTTAACTTTTATCCTGACAAAATCATGCAAGTAATAGATTTGTCTCATTTAAATTTAAAGGGACTTCATTAATAAAATACAAAAATTGAGCAGCCAACAATATAGAGCCTGGTCAAGCTGCAGGCTGGCCTGGTGTTATACAGGTTACAAACGCTCAGCCCTTTTGGTTCCAGCATTTAAAAGGTTTATACCCTTGTTGCTAAACATATCACAATTGGTTGCTAATAAAAACAGATCCTTATAAAAAGCAGATCATTAAAAGCCACAGAATTAAATAAGTTCAGTAAAAGCAAATAATTGAAAAAATTCCCCTATAATAACCGAGACGTTCTATCAGTTTAATGTACAAGTAAACAGCATACCTCCGCAGCCTCAGGTATCTTCCTTAGAACAAACAACGACTCTATCAGTATTGAGATGAACTTTTGGGGGTCCTCCTCGGGGTCTGACATCAGATTCTCTGACATATTTGTAGGTATACTAAAGTTACTGCCCCCTGAAAGCACAATATTTATCATAAGAATTCTCTTGACATATGTGTACATTTATACCTGTAGTATTTTTCAGGATCTGTTTTGAAACAGCTCATTAAGGGCCAAACAAGGTAATAATCTAATTCTATGTACAGTAAACTCCACTTATAATGATACCATTTATAACAATATACTGCTTTTATTTCATGCTTTCCAGTGTTTTATTGTAATATATCAGATGATTATATTCTGATAAACCAGTAGTGAAATTTATAAAATATAATTTTCACTGTAGCCAGACTATATCTGAATGTGGATGAAAAGAAAATTAAACTAAATGGAATAACAGACTGAAATAAGTGCCGTCATACGTAAATTTTGCTTCTTTAGGAAAAGAAAGTCGATGTCACCATACATTATGTTAGAAATGAAGCAAAATTAGAGAAATTTAACAGAACTATATTTCAAAATTGATGATGTGACGTCATGATGTGATGACGTCACGAAGGAGAATGTGTGACTTTACGCGGCAAAATCAGTAAAAAATACTTAAAATCACCTAAAAAGCATGAAATAAAAAGAAAATTTATTTGTTTTACATATAAGATTGAAATATGTTTCATTCGTGAACACCAGCTATTATATTTTCACTCGTGGCTACGCCACTCATGAAAATATTGCATCTGGTGTTCACTCAGTGAAATTTATATCAATCTTACATGCAAACAAACAAATATCCTCTATTTAATGATGCTGTTGATGCTGTCCCGCTTCTCATTTTCAAATTTGTTGCCTCTTAGATATTACGTTATCGAGATATAGAAGATATTTGTTTGTTTTGCATGTAAGATTAAAATATAATATCACTGAGTGAACACCAGATGCAATATTTTCACGAGTGGTTGGCCATTGATGAAGTATTATTGAATTACTCTGTAATAAGTCCAGAAGACAAGGAAAAGAAACAAAGGGCAATAACTATATAAATACTGAAGATGGAGTTATAGTTCTTGTGCACTGCACTTCCTCTTATTGTGCTTGACCATTGTATGAAGTTGTTTTGAATTCCAACCAGTACGTTTTAAGTTATGCTCTGGACAAGGAAAAGTAACAAAGGGCAATAACTCTGAAATTAATCAAGATGAATTTATGGTTCTTGTGCACTGCACTTCCTCTTAATGTGCTTGACCATTGTATATGAAGTTATATTGAATTCCAACCATTAGTCTTCAAGTTATGGTCGGGACAAAAGAAAGCAATGGAAAAGTATCAAAGGGCAATGACTCTGTAATTAGTCAAGATGGAGTTATAGTTCTTGTGCACTGCACTTCCCCTTATTGTGTTTGACAATTGTATGAAGTTGTTTTGAATTCCAACCAGTAGTTTTCAAGTTATGCCCCAGACAAGGAAAAGTATCAAAGGGCAATAACTCTGTAATTAGTCTAGATAGAGTTATGGTTCTTGTGCACTGCACTTCCTCTCAATGTGCTTGACCATTGTGTGTAGTTATATTGAATTCCAACCATTAGTCTTCAAGTTATGGTTCGGACAAAAGCAAGCAATGGAAAAGTAACAAAGGGCAATAACTCTGTAATTACTTTAGATAGAGTTATTGTTCTTGTGCACTGCACTTCCCCTTATTGTGTTTGACAATTGTATGAAGTTGTTTTGAATTCCAACCAGTAGTTTTCAAGTTATGCCCCAGACAAGGAAAAGTAACAAAGGGCAATAACTCTGTAATTAGTCAAGATAGAGTTATGGTTCTTGTGCACTGCACTTTCTCTCAATGTGCTTGACCATTGTGTGTAGTTATATTGAATTCTAACCATAAGTCTTCAAGTTATGGTCTGGACAAGGAAAATGCCGTGGACCTCTGGACAGACCGACCGCCCGACCAACGGGTGACTCCTATATACCACCCCAAACTTCGTTTTGGGGGGTAAAAACATGCTTTTTAAATAATGTATAGTAAGCAAGACTTACTTTGGTTTGATCCAAACTCCAGCATGGCTCTTGGTGACATATCACCACGGCGACCTGACCCTGTTCTTGCCAGCAATGCCTGTGAGGACACGGTATATATCTGCCTGTTTAATTCCTCTATCAAAATCTCATGCATTCTCTAGAAAATAAAGATTATAACTTAAGATTTCATTATGCTATTGAAAAGAATTCAAGAATTTTGATCCTTTTTAATTTTTATTAACATCTATTTTAGCCTATATGTGAAAAGGGCACTAAGCATTCAATTAATTTGATCAATAAATGTATATTTTAAACTAGTTTAGGTAAAGACAAAATGTGTTTTGCACAATAAACTTGCCACAATTAATACATGTATAAGACCAATGAGATTTGTAACTCTATAGAAACTTATTCCTCCCTAGCCAATACCATTCTTCTATCTTGATCTTATGGTTCTAAGCCCTCAACGATATCTATCTGCTAATGTTTTGCTTTTGGTCCTTGAAATAATTAATAATAAAGTTTATCTTTTTAGATAAAGAGCATTTACAAAAAGAGAGATTGTTTTTTTTTAAAACAAGCCTCCAATATGAAGAATACGTAATAAATGTACCTCCTTTCTTGCCAGTATTTCAACCTTCAGGTCTCTCAGAGCTTCAACTCCAGACAGATTACTCTCCAATTTCGCCACTGGAAAATTCAGCGAGTATAAGTAACATATAAATTGGTATTTGGCCAAACTATTTGATCATCTTACAAAATTTTCTCCAGTTAACAAGTATGTCATATATTCAAATGTTCACTTAATATTTGCACAAAGATAAATACATAGAGGATATTGAATGAGTGTAGATGTAATACTAAATTTATCAAACAAGTTCAATAAATTTAACATTGAATCTAGATGAATATAATATTCTATTTATCACCTATTTAAAACCAGAATGGTTAAAAGGAGATGTTTTTCATCAGCACACTTTTAGTGTTATACTAACATTTGCAAGCTTTAACCCTATTGTATGTTATGCAAATGATGTCACATCAAAGTGTTATTACACTAGTGTAATGCTACTTTTATTTAAATGGGTTTATTACACTTCTACGCTGTCATTTATGTTATAAAATGTATTATTAAACTTGTATTATAATATTTAATTCTTTAACTTGTATAACAATATTATAATCTTCAATATAGACATCTATAGAGCAAAGTGTGCTAACTCTTCACACTAAAAACAAGAGGGCCATGATGGCCCTGAAGTCGCTCACCTGTATATAGGCCCCTGGAGCGGGGCCAGTTTAAACCCCAGGGCTTTTATTTGAACTAACTTGGTAGACACCCATTAGAAGATATTTCATGCTTAACATCCAAGGTCTAGCTGGTCAAGTTTTTTTCTTTACACATATAGTTAAAAACAATGACACACCTGGGGCAGGGCCAGTTTTGACCCAAGGGCTATTATTTGAACAATCTTTGTAGACACTTACTAGAAAATGTTTCATGCTTAATATCTAAACTCTAGCTATTCGGGGTTTTTCAAAGAAGACTTCTAATTTTTTGCTATACACATATACGGAAAATCAATGTCAGCCGGGGCGGGACCAATTTTGACCCCAGGGCTTTTATTTGAACAAACTTTGTAGACACTCACTAGAAGATGCTTCGTGCTTTATATCTAAACTCTAGCTATTTGAGTTTTTTTCAAAGAAGATTTTTTAAAGTTTTTGTATAACACATATAAGGAAAAGGAATGACCCCCGGGGCGGGGCCAATTTTAACCCCAGGGCTTTTATTTGAACAAACTTGGTAGACAATCACTAGAAGATGTTTCATGCTTAGTATCTAAACTCTAGCTATTTGTTTTTTTTCAAAGAAGATTTTTAAGTTTTTTCTATACACATATAAGGAAAATCAATGACCCCCGGGGCGGGGCCAATTTTGACCCCAGGGCTCTTATTTGAACAAACTTGGAAGACATCCATTAGAACATGTTTCATGCTAAATATCTTAGCTCTAGCACTTTGGGTTCTTTAAAAGAAGATTTTTTAAGTTTTTACTATATGCATATAAGGAAAATCAATGACCCCCTGGGGCGGGGCCAATTTTGACCCCAGGGCTTTTATTTGAACAAACTTGGTAGACACCCATAAGAAGATGTTTCATGGTAAATATCTTAGCTCTAGCTCTTTTGGTTCTTTAAAAGAATTTTTTTAAAGTTTTTACTATATGCCTTTAGGTAAAATCAAAGACCCCCTGGGGCGGGGCCAATTTTGACCCCAGGGCTTTTATTTGAACAAACTTAGTATACATCCATTAGAACATGTTACATGCCAAATATCTAAGCTCTAGCTCTTTGGGTTTTTTAAAAGAATTTTTTTTAAGTTTTTACTATAGGCATATAGGGAAAATCAATGACCCCCTGGGGCGGGGCCAATTTTGACCCCAGAGCTTTTATTTGAACAAACTTGGTAGACATCCATTAGAACATGTTTCATGCTAAATATCTAAGCTTTAGCTTTTTGGGTTTTTTTAGAAGAAGATTTTTTAAGTTTTTACTATATGCATATAGGGAAAATCAATGACCCCCTGGGGTGGGGCCAATTTTGACCCTAGGGCTTTTTTTTAACAAACTTGGTAGACACTTACACTTATGTTTCATGCCAAATATCTAAGCTCTAGCTCTTTGGGTTTTTTAGAAGATGTTTAAAGTTTTTTCTTTTGGTTGCCATGGCAACCAGAGTTCTGCATGGAATTAAATTCTTTGAACAATTTTTAAAGGTGACCAGCAAAGGAACATTCCTGTGAAGTTTGGATGAAATTGGCTTTGTGGTTTATGAGGAGATGTCATTTAAAGCAAAAGTTTACGGACGGACGGACGACGGACGGACGAACCCTGGACGAAAAGCGATCACAAAAGCTCACCCTGTCACTTTGTGACAGGTGAGCTAAATAGGAACATTTATAGGATCAGACAAGAGTTGCCATTTCTTATACTACAGTCTATAAAAACTTACATAGCAAGCTATCTTACATTGCGAGCTTGGGGTGAGCGTAATATCATTACTGGCATGAATTTAAGTCAAGTCTACAATATATTGAAATGAAAGATTACGTACAATTTTTTCAATAACATGGTACCATAAAGCATCGCAAAACTGTAACTTCATCATAATAATCACCATTTTTACAATGCTGTCAGCATTCCACTAGTATTGAACATATTTAATTCTATGTTTTTCATTTAACATTTCTACTGTATAAAATATCTTTTTTTACAAAAAAAGCTTAATCTAAGCTAGATCATTTAGTACAATTACCTGCACTGACGATGAGATCCGTTGCATGAAGATAATGTTTCTTAGCTAGAAAATTATCTAACTTATCTGGTACAGCTTTCACTTGCTCACTGAAATATATATTATCATAATCTGTCATTTAAGTGCAGTAAGAAGTTAACTCCTTATATAATTTCCATCATTTAACCTGTTACTTCACTAAGGTCACAATATCAATTATGAAAAAAAATCCAAAAATTTGATATTACATGTATGACAATTGGTAATATATCATTTATCATTTTGTAGCTTTCAGACACTCTGGAATTTGGGCTGTAAATTATTCTATAAACAAAACATGTAATACAAATGCACTTGCATATTATTCTGTTTCAAAGGAACAACAGAATTCTACATGCCAAATCCTGTTAGAATTAAGGTTTTTCTTTCAATTTATGTAAATTCCTCGTCAAAAGGTAATAAATATCTTCAGAAATTTAATAATTTACTTAAATTTGTGAATTTCCATTACTAATCTTTTACATGTGTATTTGTTTTAATTTACTCCAGAGCAATAAGAAATAGATTATCAGTCTCAGTATCTATAAATAGACTCACATCTGATCAAGAAGTGCAGCGATGGTTTTTTGCTCAACACCTTCGATCCACAATCTACGTAATTCATCCCGTTTACAATGCAACAACGTTTTACAGCTTCTCAAATCTTCCTTTATCTTCTTAATTTTCTCACGAGATTCTGGAATAATTAAAATCAAGACATTCCTTGATTCCATCATTTATGTAGAATTAATTCTAGGAAAATTTAAATCAACCCTTCCTTGATTCAATCACTTGTCTCTTGAAATTCTAGAATATTTTATCACTTATAATATTTCAGAAAAATTAAAATCAAATCTTCCTTGATTCTATTTGTTTTCTTATAAGTTTCTTTATTTTTTTCCATAAATTGGTCACAAACGAATGCTCTTTATTTGCTTAGTGCAGGCTGCATAGCAATTACATGTATTTTAAATCTCAAAATTTTAAAATTATATAACACATAGTTTGTAATATAACAAATAGCCAATTAATAATATTCAGTCATTATATGTTTTTCATTTTATATGAAGTGTAGCAAACCTATCAATTAAACATAAAAGTGTGTCAAATAATCCAGTGGTTTTTTTTCTCTACTTTGGGAATGGTGCCGGTACCAGACTGATTGGGAAAAAAAGCGTTATTTTGACTTAAATTGGGAATTTTTTGTTATGCATTTTTTCAGCTACAAATAAGATAGACATCATGAATAAAGATAGCTAACAGCTTCCACTGTCCAGGTAGAACTATTGAGTGATGATTTATATGAATATGTTGGATTTAAATGATTTCAGAGAAACCTCTTGGCCTTGTGGAAATTTTGAACAGCTATTTTGGGAATTTAAACATTGGAAATTGGGAATTTTAATGTCTATTTTCTATTGGGAACAGTACCGTTTTAGGGTAGTAGTTATATAAAGAAAAAAAACACTGTAATCAAACTACTTCCAGGGATTATGCAAGCTATGAAAACATAAGATGAAAAGACCTGACTTCATACTGATAAGATAAAATTGTTCCTGCATGCCTATATATTTCTTAATGTACACCAAGACTAAAATACAAACCTTTGACTTTATCACTGATTCCACTGAATGATGTAAGAATGGATGTTAGATCCTGGTAGTTATCTGAAAATAAACAAAAAATAATAAGAGATAAACAAGAGGGCCATGATGGCCCTGAAGTCGCTCACCTGTATATAGGCCCCCGGAGCGGGGCCAGTTTAAACCCCAGGGCTTTTATTTGAACAAACTTGGTAGACACCCATTAGAAGATATTTCATGCTTAACATCTAAGGTCTAGCTGGTCAAGTTTTTTTTCTTTACACATATAGTTAAAAACAATGACACACCTGGGGCAGGGCCAGTTTTGACCCAAGGGCTTTTATTTGAACAATCTTTGTAGACACTTACTAGAAAATGTTTCATGCTTAATATCTAAACTCTAACTATTCGGGTTTTTTCAAAGAAGACTTTTAAGTTTTTGTTATACACATATAAGGAAAATCAATGTCAGCCGGGGCGAGGCCAATTTTGACCCCAGGGCTTTTATTTGAACAATCTTGGTAGACACTCATTAGAAGATGTTTCATGCTTAATATCTTAGCTCTAGCTCTTTGGGTTCTTTAAAAGAAGAATTTTTTAAGTTTTTACTATATGCATATAGGGAAAATCAATGACCCCCTGGGGCGGGGGCCAATATTGACCCCAGGGCTTTTATTTGAACAAACTTGGTAGACACCGATTAGAAGATGTTTCACTTCTCCAAATCCCTCCAGAGGCGTGCACGTCGCGGAGAAGGCACACGGCAGGTCAAGGTCAAGTCACCTTAAGTACCAGAGGTGATTGGTTGACCTGTCGTGACTAACTCTGGAGGTTGGCGCTAACAAAAGCCGTTTTATGTCAACCGCCTGTTTGCAGCTGTCACCGAACTTGATGCTTTTCCTGTATTGTCTTTCCTCCACCGAACGAAGAACAGGACTTAGGAAGATCGGCATGAAAAAGACGTCCCCGATGAGACTACTAGAGTGGACCGGCATGGACGCTGAGATCTCGGACATATGGAATTTCCGGCGCCGAGCTAAAATAAACTTAAAAACACAAACACACGAAGATGTTTCATGCTAAATATCTTAGCTCTAGCTTTTTGGGTTCTTTAAAAGAAAATTTTTTAAGTTTTTACTATATGCATATAGGGAAAATCAATGACCCCCCAACTTGGTAGACATCCATTAGAAAATGTTTCATGCCAAATATCTAAGCTCTAGCTCTTTGGGTTTTTTAGAAGAAGATTTTTTAAGTTTTTACTATATGCATATAGGGAAAATCAATGACCCCCTGGGGCGGGCCAATTTTGACCCCAGGGCTTTTATTTGAACAATCTTGGTAGACACTCATTAGAAGATGTTTCATGCTTAATATCTTAGCTCTAGCTCTTTGGGTTTTTTAAAAGATTTTTTTAAGTTTGTACTATATGCATATAGGGAAAATCAATGACCCCCTGGGGCGGGGCCAATTTTGACCCCAGGGATTTTATTTGAACAATCTTGGTAGACACTCACTAGAAGATGTTTCATGCCAAATATCTAAGCTCTAACTCTTTGGGTTTTTTAGAAGAAGAAGTTTAAAGTTTTTTCTTTTGGTTGCCATGGCAACCAGAGTTCTGCATGGAATGGAATTCTTTGAACAACTTTGTTAAGGCTTCACACAAGGAACATCCCTGTGAAGTTTCATTATGATCTGCCTTATGGTTTCAGAGGAGTTGTCGTTTGAAAAGTGTGAACGGACAACGGACGACAGACGACGGACGAAGAGTGATCCTAATAGCTCACCCTGTGCATATGCTCAGGTGAGCTAAAAAGGACATATTACCCACCTTATCAAATTGTATGACAGCTGAACTTCTTTGTTGTTTGAGGTTTCATTTATTGTACAGATTATGATAGAAAGACCTAGGTGTTACTTTTTGCATTATTTCATGTACAAGAGCCATGTCAACATGGCCATCCCCCGGCGAATGTGTTTGCTCATTGGAAGAATGTATATGTAGTAGAGCAGAATAATTCCATTTTAAGAGGTCTTTTGGTAATGTAAACTGATGGCTATAGTGATTACAGATTTGAAACCTATGTGAATACTGATGGCTGAAAATAACAAAGGGCAATAACTGAAAAATAATTCAGGGTAGGTTATCATTCTTGTGTGCTGCATCCCTCCTAAGTAAAATCTATCCAACTATGAAGTTTCAAGTTGATACCTCAAATACTTTTTGAGAAAAAAAATTGAATTGAAAAATTAAGTATGAAAAATAACAAAGGGCAATAACTCAAAAATTATAAAAGGTAGAGTTATCATTCTTGTGCACTGCACACCTCCTGAGTTAGATCTATGCACCTATGAAGTTTCATAATGATATCTCAAAGGCCTTTCGAGTTATGCTCTGGACAAAAATTAATTTTGAAAAATAAAAAAAGGGCAATAACTAAACAATTATGCAGGGTAGAGTTATCGTTCTTGTGCACTGCACTCTTCCTCAATGAGTGAGATCTATGCACCTCTGGACAAAATAGCATGAAAAAGAACAAAGGGCAATAACTCAAAAATTGTATAGGGAAGAGTTATCATTCTTGCGCACAACATTCCTCCTCAATAAGATCTATCCACCTATGACATTTCATGTTGATATCTCACACACTTTTAAAGTTATGCTCCACTCAGGTGAAAAATTAAATATGAAAAATAACAAAGGGCAATAACTCAAAAATTATGAAAGATAGAGTTATCATTCTTGTGCACTGCACACCTCCTGAGTGAGATCTATGCACCTATGAAGTTTCATGTTGATATCTCATAGGCTTTTGGAGTTATGCTCTGGACAAAAATCAATTTTGAAAAATAACAAAGGGCAATAACTCAAAAATTATGCAGGGTAGAGTTATCATTCTTATGCACTGCACACTTCCTCAATGAGGTCTATCCACCTATGAAGTTTCAAGTTGATAACTCAAATACTTTTTGAGATAATCTCTGGACAAAATAGCATGAAAAAGAACAAAGGGCAATAACTCAAAAATTGTATAGGGAAGAGTTATCATTCTTGCGCACAACATTCCTCCTCAATAAGATCTATCCACCTATGACATTTCATGTTGATATCTCAAACACTTTTAAAGTTATGCTCCACTCAGGTGAAAAATTAAATATGAAAAATAACAAAGGGCAATAACTCAAAAATTATGAAAGATAGAGTTATCATTCTTGTGCACTGCACACCTCCTGAGTGAGATCTATGCACCTATGAAGTTTCATGTTGATATCTCATAGGCTTTTGGAGTTATGCTCTGGACAAAAATCAATTTTGAAAAATAACAAAGGGCAATAACTCAAAAATTATGCAGGGTAAAGTTATCATTCTTATGCACTGCACTCCTCCTCAATGAAGTCTATCCACCTATGAAGTTTCAAGTTGATAACTCAAATACTTTTAGAGATATGCTCCGGACAAAAATGTCGTACGGAAGGACGGACGGAAGGTCGGACGGACGGAGACTATTTCTATATCCCCCGCCGCCTTTTCGGCGGGGGATAAAAAAGACAGACACCTGGATATAATGCTTAACACTTAAACAACTGAGAAACAGGATGATCAACTTATCAACTTAAGTAATCAGAAAATAAGTTTCCAGAGAAGTAAGCTACCTGCATTAGCTATTATCAGTACATATCTGGCACACATGTAGCTTACTAATTCAGTTATTCTTATTTAATCTCACTTATGCATTTTCATTCCCACAAAATAGCCCAAGAAATTGTGTGCTTTAGGGCTTTTTATTACATAGATAAAATCGGTCGGTCTTGCAGTCGAAATATTGAGACTACCCACAAAACTACCTTTAACTTGATGCACAAGTTTCTTGTCACTCTCTTTAAACGCCTTTTCAATCCTTGCTTTTTCTCTTTCTCTCTGTTGGAAGTCGGCGCTGAAAAAAAAAGTAAAATTGTTTACTAAAATGAGAATTCAATAACCATGATGATATTACTTTTCATGTAATTCTATATGTTCTAATTTCCATCTTTTACAAACTGAACCAAAAAAGCTTCATTTCCAAACTGCTTTTAAGAATTTTAAATTAACAATATACTAAACCACTGCATTTAAGAATTTTTTGTTTTGTTTTTTTTTCTCAAAGATCCTGCACTTTCTAGAAACATGTGCATGAAAATCCCAAATCTGAATAGATAAACTAGCTTAAAAGGTGTAAAATTTCTAGTTCAAATATCTGTTTACATGAACAATAGAAACCAAGGGGGTGGGGGTACATGTAACAGTCAGCTACATACAATCAATATTTTCATTGAAAAGGCTGAGGACATCTCTTGTGTCTATAAATAAACAGTTTTCCCGAAAGAATTTCATCGACTGAAATTGTTCATGAAGTGCAAACATTTTAGTCCTGTCTAAAAAAAAAATTAATAGAATTTTTTTATAAACACATCAACTATCAGGGATGAACAGTCAGAATTTACTCTTTTATCAAGCCCCAAAACATGAAAATGAGATTGCTGGGAGAGTTATTGGACCAGGTCCTTTGGAAAAAACAAGCATTCTTACTTCTGTCAAATTTCATGGGAAATTAAGTCCAGTCCTGGTTCAAAATAAATGAATATGATTATCGGACTGTTGCGTTCTTAATGAAAACAGCTATTTTATATAGATTGCCATCCCCATGATTTTAAAAATCCCCCAACTCTTTTAAAAGAAGGAGGAAATTCACCCTTGTAATATCACATATCTATAATAAACATTGTTTTAAATCAAAATTTTTACTGCTGATTGCAACAATTGACACTTTGAAGACATTTAATGTTTTGAAATAAAACTATGACCTGATCAATCATCCATGCCTCATCATAATATACAGAATAAGTTGAAATGCATCTTTACAATAAAAGTTTTGTAAGTGAAAGTCAAATTACCTGGTGGAGAGAGTTCTGACTATGGACATCAAAAATCCAGACTGAAAATTAAATAATTTGATATATTAAACAATTATGTTTTCTCATATATTTTATAGGGGTGTAACAATACGGCAAAAACCATATTGCAATATATTGCCATTTTGCTGAAGCGTATTGCAATATATTGCAATATGTATTGTTGTGTATATGTTTTAATATAAAGTCTTTTAAGATGGAGTAACATTATATATTATTATTATATGTATATATTTTTAGTAGAAACTTAATATAAATGTAAGGAATAAATAGAAAGTAAAGTGTCACACAATTTGATAAACAAAACTAGTCACATGTGACCTTTCACATCTGGGCCGCTTATGTAAATTATGCGGCCGCTTATTGATTTTTAAGTGTATTAGTTGTCGGATACTTTTACCTAACGTTGGTGCCAATAAAATTCGCCAATTAAAGATTTTATGTGAAATTTGTACAAAATTGGCTGGCAATTAATTGAAAATTATGATTTTTATAAAATACCGGTTTTCCAAAAATCGTACCGTGGTACGAAATTTATTTTTTCATATTGCAATATATCGGTATACCGGTAAACCGTTACACCCTTAATATTTTATGTTTACAATATTGATTATCTGTGATTTACATTAAAATAGAGGCAGTGCATGTAAGACTGTTGTTCAGTTATTGTGTGTGTAAGCAATTTTTAGGAAGCTAAATGCTTTTGCATCAAGTGCACAGAACTTTAAAGATTTCCTTTATTTTCTCATTATTTAGATCACCAGATATATACCATTACCCACTGCACTTATGGCAAATTATTAAATAATTTTAATTCAGTTTCTATTACTTAATAAACATATTTTTGGATAAAATTAAAATGATGCAAACAGCACAAAAACGTGTATGTAATTGTGTACGTTTCATTCTTTGTCCGAAAATTATTGTTAACCGGCTACTACTCAACTTGACATAAACAATAAATGTTTCAGTTCTATACTCCTGTATTTACTGTTGTTTGTTATTATACGCAAAAGCCCGTTCACATTATTGAATAATAAACATGTTTACCGTCTGTTTTGGCTTTGCAGGGGATGCAACAGGCGTTTTGGACTCATATTCCATCATTTTGCACTGCCCTTTTCTGACTTCCGGGATTTGTATTTTCAGTGCATAAATGAAAATAGGATGTATAATCCGTAATCTTCTCAAAAAAAATGTATGCGTTTCTCAAAAATATCAATTAAATGTGTATTTCGAAAGTGACAGCAGTTTTTTTTAATGTGTTTACTATTTTTGTGATCTCCTAAAGAATAATTTTTATGGACTAAAGTGTCCAATTTCGTCTGCACCTGAAAGTAGAAAACTTGACATATCCAGTCAATTTGTATCATAATTATTGTATTGCTGTTATTCATATATACATTTTTTGACAAGTCAGTTGAAAAAAGTTTCTCTTTTTCAATTTTAAGAGAAAATGTTCGTTCATAAAGGTTGCCATTGTTAATAATATACTTAATATAAAAAATATTCATGTCAGAGGTAATTTAGCCACAGACACATGCCATGGGCTTGAAGTTGGGTTGTGGAGGGGACTTGAGCCCTAAACGCATTAAAATCTAAAGAAATCTGTACATACTTTTCAAAACAGCGTATATTGGGTTTTATTGATAATTTATATGATAGGTTTATGTGCTTGGATCAACAAATTACAATTTGCTTGGATTTTAAGGTTGGATCTCCACAGCAGTGTCTGGAAGTTTTCAATAGTTCAAACACTTTCCATGTGCAAACAATTCATCTCCAAATATGATAAATATTCAGTGTGTTTTAAACTGACCATTTTTATGTAATTTAGGAGTTAAATTTACAACATTTAAATGGTCAATGATAAGAAATTTTTGTAACGGTTTTCTCAGCAACAACTTTATAATCACAGCCTCTTGAAATTAAATATTAATAGGCCTAGCATTAACACATGGTCCCATACCGTGGGATTCAATAACACTCGGGTCTAGCGCTCATCCATTTCCTGTTTTAGGTAGTTAAATTTTGGACATTATGTTAATTATAGTAACATCACAGCCGCATGATCATTTGGTATACAAATGCAACCCATCCTTTTCTGTCTTTGAACAGAGACATAGATTACAGGTTATCTACATCTCTGCTTTGACCCATTTATGTAGACTGTCACAATAAAACTATTTTATAAATAAAATCTACATATTTGAAATTGACTACTATTTTTCTTAATTGTTTTTACACAGTAAATTAAAATAATGCTGTCATTTTCTCATTATCCCATATACTGACATATTGTCTGTTCCTAATAGTTTGAATTTTATAGCAAGTTAACTGTTGGAAGTTTTCTACTACTAAATTTGAAGATTTTGACCCATCTGATTCCTTCAACTCTTGCATTTTTGGGGATAACTGTGATACTGTAGTAACCTCCTCTAAAATCACCCAAAATGGCAGACAACAAAAAAGTTAAGAAAATAATACTTTACGTGGATCTTTTGTGATAAATTTTTGGTAAAGGAGGAAAATTTTCATTCATTGTGTGATTATCATTTTTATATTTAGATATTTTCCTATAAATGTTAAGTACTGTGATATCATAGAATCCTGGGTTATATCTAAAGAATGTCTGCATCAATGAGAACATACAGATTTAGAGGAGTTATTGCCCTTGTGTTTTATTTCATTTTTCATGTCTTTGAAAATAATTCAAGCTTCAAAAATGTTTATAATCAACAAAAGTTGATGAAACATTATAAGATTTGCTTCTAGATGAAACATTATTATTTTAATTTGCTTCTAGATGAATGTGCAAAATTCTTAAGTTATTGTTTCTGCTTCATAGCCAAACACCCAAGAAAAAAATAAGTAACAGCATTATTCCAGAATAAGAAAAATGTCAAATCAAGTGGGTGCATGGAATCCTGGGGATGCATGGAAGAATATTGGCTGCTTTTTTGGCATAACAAAAAAACATCCTGAGGAATTGAGAAATAAAGCAGAGAGACAAATAAAGGTATTTAATTTGTCTTAAGTCCACTTTCTTCAAATTTCTAAATATGCTTATCTCTTATCTTCTATGCTATGTGGTTTTTTCCCAGGATTCCAATTTTCCCAAAATAATGTCAACATTTGTAATCTCACCATTTTGTGACTTGTTTATTGTTTTGTTTTGTTTTTCATTTTTAGTTATCTAGCTTTACATTGTGTGCCTGAAAAGGTAAATGAAAACACTATTACATTTTTTTTTTTTTATGAAATAACCTATGGAAAGTCATTCTGCATTTTGAACAACATTTTATTCACTAAAAACATAACAAAATAAAAGATTATTATTTATTTTCAGTTTATGAAAGAAATGGAAGAACAATATGTCTATAATGAAAAAACACACTTTTTAGAGATTTATTTAACATAACAAAATAAAAGATTATTATTTATTTTCAATTTATGAAAGAAATGGAAGAACAATATGTCTATAATGGAAAAACACAATTTTTAGAGATTTATTTTAATTGTTTATAATTATGTTATATTGAATGTTATTCTTCTTTGTATTGTCAATTCACAGATATTTTTCTAGTATTAGTTGGACCTGGTTCAGAATTTAAATTGCATAGGGGCAGCAAAATTATTTAAACAATTATTTTCATAATTAAGATGACGTAAAAACATCATATATTTCTGATAATACATTATAAAAGGTGCCTCAGATCATTGTCAAGTTGAATGATTCACTCATTTTTTTATCACTTAAAAACTTACAAACTAGGTGTAATTATTTTACATTTTAGACAAGATTTATTACCTTGAATTTCTGAACTAGATACTTTTATTAAATATAAAAGCAAAAATCTTAATTATGGTCATTTTTTTTAAAAAAAAATTAATAATAGCAGACAGAAGTCTGAGTGTATTAACACAACCTACCGGTACATTTTATTTTGCTTCAAGACTACATGATATATTATCTAAACTTTCAGGAAGGTGAGTTTGGGATAACTCTGAAAAGGTCCGGATCTAAACAAAATTATGAAACAGATAAATTTGTACATGGTGCACAAAAGGTTTTATCCCGAATTGGGGCATTCCAGGCATTAGAAGAATCACAAGATCACCTTCGTGTTTCAGACGAGGTATAACTGTAGATCATTTATAAAAGATTTTGTTTTATTTCATAATACTGTTACTATGTTGCTTAAGAATAAAGTCTTAATTTGTTCAATGTTCACTCACACAGTGTTGAAAAAAAATCATAATTACTTAATTTATTGCAAACTTACAGAAAGACCTAGAGTTGGATCGTTTCTGGACCTGCTAGGGTCAAGGTCACTCATACTAAAATAATTTATGCTTTGACAGAACAACATAAATGACCAAAATGTCAATAATTGAACTATAACCTTGACTTTTGAATTAGACCCTTCTCAAGAAAGGTGCTTTGGTAACAAGAGCTGTCACAGGAGACAGCGAAGCTCGACTAATAAAATACTGGACGCAGTAAGGAGGACAAAACTATGAAAGAATAATCAATTATGTATAATTATGTATTAAGTTATAGTAAAAAAATAATATTTGTTAACATAAATTCCAAGATCAAGGGGAATAATTCTAGAAATAGTCATGCTAGAGTTATGGACCTTGTCACACAACATTTGTGTAATGATAAGAAATAGATATTTGAAGTTTGAAGTAGATACCTTAAAAAGTGAAGAAGTTATTATATTTCTTAAAGAAAATCAAAGAGAGATAAATGTGTATTATTGCTTCAAGAGTTATGAACATTGTCACATAAAATGTAATTGATTATAAGGAATAAGTATTTGAAGTTTGAGGTAGATACCTTTAAAAATAAAAAAGTTATAATAAAAAATAACATTTTTCTAGTAAAAAAATCTAAGTGTAAGGGGAGATAATTCTTGCAATATTGGTGCTAGAGTTATGAACCTTGTCACATAAGATGTGGATGATGATAACTTAAATATATTTGAAGTATGAAGTTGATCCCTTTAGAAATAGATAAGTAACAGTAAAAAATAATATTTTTTATTGAAAATCCTAAGTTCAAAGGGAGATGAATCTGAAAATATTGGTGCTAGAGTTATGAACCTTGTCACATAAGATGGGGATGATGATAACGTAAATATATTTGAAGTATGAGGTTGATCCCTTAAGAAATAAAGAAGAAACAGTAAGAAATAGTACTTTTTGAGGAAAATTCTAAGTTCAAGGGGAGAAAAATCTGAAAAAATTGTTGCTAGAGTTATGAACCTTATCACATAAGATGGGGATGATGATAAGGGACATATATTTGAAGTATGAGGTTGATCCCTTAAGAAATAGAGAAGTAACAGTAAAAAATGGTATTTTTTAAGGAAAATTCTAAGTTCAAGGGGAGATAAATCTGAAAATATTGGTGCTAGAGTTATGAACCTTGTTACATAAGATGTGGTTGATGATAAGTAACATATATTTGAAGTTTGAAGTTGATACCTTAAGAAATGACAAAGTTATAGTGAAAAATATTTTACTGCACCAAAACTTTAATCTAAAATCTGGACGCGGACGCCTACGCCGACGCCGGGGCGAGTAGGACAGCTCTCCATATACTTCGTATAGTCGAGCTAATAAGGAAAAACCAAGACAATGGCACTTGCTTGAGATGACATTTGTTGAGACCTGATTTTGTGGCATTGCCATGCTTCTTGTTATACATGTATATGATTCTAGTAGCTGGCAGGCAGATAGTTTTAGAGTTTAAAATAACATATTAATTTGCAAAAATGTAGAATTTATGAGCATTATAAGTGCTTATTATCTACATTATTGGTTTCAATGAAAATCGAAAACTTTACAAAGTCTGCCAGCTATTTTTGTTTTGATATGATAAATCCAACTGCATGACAACTCTTATAATAGAATGAATAATGAAAAGTATTTAGATTTTCTATATAGTAAATTTCATTTTGAAGCTCAATTTAAATATATCACATTACTTTATTCTGATAGAGAAAGACAGGTTCAAGCCACTCTTCAAAGTTGTTTTATCAGTCTAAAGAACCAGTGGCTGGTTCCAGCCAAAGTGTGGAGGATGCTGGAAACCAACCTTTAACTCTGACCACTCCAAAGAAAACACATTCTTTAAGCAAGCAATCTGTATACAACCGATTATACACAGAAAATGATGATGAAGAAACTGATATTGATACTGGTATAAGAACAAAGTGTGAATCCAAACCTAAAGTAACTTTTGAAGCAGTTGATTCTTTTACTTCACAAACCACAAAAAGTGAAGGATTTGTAAATGAGCCAATGGAAAATACAGAAGAAATTGATAAAACACAAGATGGAAAAGTATATTCTGATCCCTATGTAGCTTATCAAACTTCAAAGGTAAAGAATAGTAGTGTGCTGATATCTGAAGAGAAAATTATTTCAGAAAGCGTAGATAATTTTAAAAAAATCTTTTTTTATTTCATAAATAGATCAATAATACTATGTTGCTGTAGAATAAGGTCTTGATAAGTTCTCTCACACAGAGTTTAAAAAAAAATCATAATTACTTAATATATTGCAAACTTATGGGAAGACTTAGTGTCATATTGCTTCTGGACCTGCCAGGGTCAAGGTCACTCATACTAAAATAATTCATGCTTTGACAGAACAACATTAATGACCAAAATTTTGATAATTAAAATATGACCTTGAATTTTGAATGACCTTCAACCAGTAAGGGTCTTTAGTATTAAAAGAAAAGCCAAGACCATGGCACTTGCTTGCGATGACTTATGATGAGATATGATTTTATGGCATTGCCATGTTTCTTGTCATATATAAGTCACCTCTAAGTGCAGTGACAGGTTAAGTCATTCTGAATTTAATAGGAGATAATCAGTTATTGGCAGGCAGATGATTTTTGAGATTACAATAACATATTTGCAAAAATGTAGAATTTATGAGCACAGTGCATAATCTACATTATTTGTTTCAATGAAAATTGAAAATTTTAAAGAGTCTGGCAGCTAAGTTTTAATATTATAAATCTAATTGCATGACAACTCTTATAATAGAATGAATAATGAAAAAAAATATTTAGATTTTCTATATTTTGAAGCTCAATTCAGTTATATCATATTAACTATATTCTGACAGAGAAAGGCAGGTTCAATCCTCTCATCAAAGTTATTTTATCAGATTAAAGAACCAGTGGCTGGTACCAGCAAAACTGTACAGGATGCTGGAAACCAACCTTTAACTCTGACCACTCCAAAGCAAACACAGTCTTTACTTAGCAAGCAAACAGTAGACAACAGATTACACACAGAAGTTGATGATGAAGAAACTGATATTGATACTGGTATAAGAACAAAGTGTGAATCCAAACCTAAAGTAACTTTTGAAGCAGTTGATTCTATTATTTCACAAACCACAAAAAGTGAAGGATTTGTAAATAAGCCACTGGATAATATAAAAGAAATTGTTAAAACACAAGATGGAAAGGTATATTCTGATCCCAATGTAGCTTATCAAACTTCAAAGGTAAAGAATAGAAGTGTGCTGATATCTGAAGAGAAAGACAGGAAAGCTAAATTGATTTTCTTTGATGAACTCGTAAAACCTTACCAGAGAGTGCAAATGAATGATTTGGAAATTCCAAAGTATAGTTATGACAGCTTGACTAGATCAGCAAAATGTAAAGCAAGCAGACCTGATAGAGAGGATAAGAAGGTGTATACTAAAATGAGATCATCTCCGGATATTTGTATAGATCAGACATCAGCAGCTGGTAATTTGTCGCCAAATCGGGTGGCCTTAAAATCTAACGCAGGTGAGTCTGATGTTGATCTAGTGAAAGAAGATGAAGAAGAGGAAACTGTTGCTACTGGAAATGAGCTGGACGAGGATAATTCAGACTCTGTGGATCCAGTCAAATCTGAAATCAAACCTGAAAAGGTACATAATCAGAGTAAATGTATGTAGATATGTATAATACATGTATAATATTTTTATAATTTAATAACTGTAACAGAGAACAATACATTCAATAAACATTTTCTGATCTAAAGTATTTGATTCGTCAGAAACTTGCACAGAATGTGCACTGACCACTTAAAAGATTTGAGACAGATCTCATAAAAAGTTTTAGAACCTTGAGGCCAGGCTTTATTATAGCTTTCTGAAGCCAGTTCCTCACTCACTCAGCATGCCTACAGATTTGTGCTTAAATTTTGATATAATTTTTTAAAACAAATTCGGAAGTACATTGTACATGATTTATTGTAAAGTGTACAGTTAAAGATTGCTTCACCTATAGTTGGGCTGCACTTAATATATATCCACAGAATTGACATATAACTTCAAAATTATGCAGAAATACAGCAATTGCTGATTAATAATAGTCACTGGATAAAATTTATTTATTCTATTAAACATAATATTTTGCATAACATATGCACGAAAATTACTGTGATTGTGAACTATTAACTTTCATAATTTCTCACTAAATTGAAATTGAATAGTTGAATAAGGAATATAAAGTTTAATCAATTCAAAAGATAAATTTTGAATAATATGCATATGAGTCAATATGAATTTAAGTATGAATCACATTGGAAAATATTTTTTTGGGGTTCAAATTGCCATGATCAAGTTGGTTTAAATATTCAATAATTTAACAACAAATTGGTTCTAACATGCCCTCAGAGTATAGAGAGCAATTATGCATACATGTGCCAATTGTTTAAGAGACTATCAAAATATTAAATTATTTACTGCTCAAATCAATTGGCACTGTGGTTTTTCTGTGATTAGCTCACCTTGCACAAAGTGTAGGTGAGCTTTTAGGATGGCCAACCAAATGGCGTCCGTCGTCTGTCGTCCGTCCACATTTTAAATATTCTAAGGACATCTTCTATGATACCGCAAGGCCAATGTTAATGAAACTAGGCAGGAATACTCTTTGTATGAAGCTCTATCAAGATTGTTCAAAGAATTCCATTTTCTGCAGAACTCTGGTTGCCATGGCAACCGAAAGAAAAATCTTTAATCTTCTTTTATATCTTCTTTTAAAGAACCGTAAGAGCTAGAGCTTAGATATTTGGCATGAAACATCTTCTAATGAGTGTCTACCAAGTTTGTTCAAATAAAAGCCTTAGGGTCAAAATTGGCCCCGCCCCAGGGGGTCATTGATTTTCCCTATATGCATATAGTAAAAACTTTAAAAATCTTCTTTTAAAGAACCCAAAGAGCTAGAGCTAAGATATTTGGCATGAAACATCTTCTAGTGAGTGTCTACCAAGTTTGTTCAAATAAAAGCCCTGAGGTCAAAATTGGCCCCGGCCCGAGGGGTCATTGATTTTCCCTATATGCATATAGTAAAAACTTAAAAAATCTTCTTTTAAAGAACTGTCAAAGCTAGAGCTTAGATATTTGGCATGAAACATCTTCTAGTGAATGTCTACCAAGTTTGTTCAAATAAAAGCCCTGGGGTCAAAATTGGTCCCGCCCCAGGGGGTCATTGATTTTCCCTATATGCATATAGCAAAAACTTAAAAAATCTTCTTTTAAAGAACCCAAAGAGCTAGAGCTAAGATATTTAGCATGAAACATCTTCTAATGAGTGTCTACCAAGTTTGTTCAAATATAAGTCTGAGGTCAAAATTGGCCCTGCCCCAGGGGGTCATAGATTTTCCCTATATGCATATAGTAAAAACTTAAAAAATCTTCTTTTAAAGAACCCAAAGAGCTAGAGCTAAGATATTTGACATGAAATATCTTCTAGTGAGTGTCTACCAAGTTTGTTCAAATAAAAGCCCTGGGGTCAAAATTGGCCCCGCCCCGGGGGGTCATTGATTTTCCCTATATGCATATAGTAAAAACTTAAAAAATCTTCTTTTAAAGAACCGTTAGAGCTAGAGCTTAGATATTTGGCATGAAACATCTTCTAGTGAATGTCTACCAAGTTTGTTCAAATAAAAGCCCTGGGGTCAAAATTGGCCCCGCCCCAGGGGGTCATTGATTTTCCCTATATGCATATAGCAAAAACTTAAAAAATCTTCTTTTAAAGAACCCAAAGAGCTAGAGCTAAGATATTTAGCATGAAACATCTTCTAATGAGTGTCTACCAAGTTTGTTCAAATATAGGCCTGAGGTCAAAATTGGCCCTGCCCCAGGGGGTCATTGATTTTCCCTATATGCATATAGTAAAAACTTAAAAAATCTTCATTTAAAGAACCCAAAGAGCTAGAGCTAAGATATTTGACATGAAATATCTTCTAGTGAGTGTCTACCAAGTTTGTTCAAATAAAAGCCCTGGGGTCAAAATTGGCCCCGCCCCGGGGGGTCATTGATTTTCCCTATATGCATATAGTAAAAACTTAAAAATCTTCTTTTAAAGAACCGTAAGAGCTAGAGCTTAGATATTTGGCATGAAACATCTTCTAGTGAATGTCTATCAAGGTTGTTCAAATAAAAGCCCTGGGGTCAAAATTGGCCCCGTCCCAGGGGGTCATAGATTTTCCCTATATGCATATAGTAAAAACTTAAAAAATCTTCTTTTAAAGAACCCAAAGAGCTAGAGCTAAGATATTTGACATGAAACATCTTCTAATGAGTGTCTACCAAGTTTGTTCAAATAAAAGCCCTGGGGTCAAAATTGGCCCGGCCCGGGGGGGTCATTGATTTTCCCTATATGCATATAGTAAAAACTTAAAAAATCTTCTTTTAAAGAACTCAAAGAGCTAGAGCTAAGATATTAAGCATGAAACATGTTCTAATGGGTGTCTACCAAGTATGTTCAAATAAAAGCCCTGGGGTCAAAATTGGCCCGGCCCGGGGGGTCATTGGTTTTCCCTATATGCATATAGTAAAAACTTAAAAAATCTTCTTTTAAAGAACTGTCAAAGCTAGAGCTTAGATATTTGGCATGAAACATCTTCTAGTGAATGTCTACCAAGTTTGTTCAAATAAAAGCCCTGGGGTCAAAATTGGTCCCGCCCCAGGGGGTCATTGATTTTCCCTATATGCATATAGCAAAAACTTAAAAAATCTTCTTTTAAAGAACCCAAAGAGCTAGAGCTAAGATATTTAGCATGAAACATCTTCTAATGAGTGTCTACCAAGTTTGTTCAAATATAAGCCTGAGGTCAAAATTGGCCCTGCCCCAGGGGGTCATAGATTTTCCCTATATGCATATAGTAAAAACTTAAAAAATCTTCTTTTAAAGAACCCAAAGAGCTAGAGCTAAGATATTTGACATGAAATATCTTCTAGTGAGTGTCTACCAAGTTTGTTCAAATAAAAGCCCTGGGGTCAAAATTGGCCCCGCCCCGGAGGGTCATTGATTTTCCCTATATGCATATAGTAAAAACTTAAAAATCTTCTTTTAAAGAACCGTAAGAGCTAGATCTTAGATATTTGGCATGAAGCATCTTCTAGTGAATGTCTACCAAGTTTGTTCAAATAAAAGCCCTGGGGTCAAAATTGGTCCCGTCCCAGGGGGTCATTGATTTTCCCTATATGCATATAGCAAAAACTTAAAAAATCTTCTTTTAAAGAACCCAAAGAGCTAGAGCTAAGATATTTAGCATGAAACATCTTCTAATGAGTGTCTACCAAGTTTGTTCAAATATAGGCCTGAGGTCAAAATTGGCCCTGCCCCAGGGGGTCATTGATTTTCCCTATATGCATATAGTAAAAACTTAAAAATCTTCTTTTAAAGAACCCAAAGAGCTAGAGCTAAGATATTTGACATGAAATATCTTCTAGTGAGTGTCTACCAAGTTTGTTCAAATAAAAGCCCTGGGGTCAAAATTGGCCCCGCCCCGGGGGGTCATTGATTTTCCCTATATGCATATAGTAAAAACTTAAAAATCTTCTTTTAAAGAACCGTAAGAGCTAGAGCTTAGATATTTGGCATGAAACATCTTCTAGTGAATGTCTATCAAGGTTGTTCAAATAATAGCCCTGGGGTCAAAATTGGCCCCGTCCCAGGGGGTCATAGATTTTCCCTATATGCATATAGTAAAAACTTAAAAAATCTTCTTTTAAAGAACCCAAAGAGCTAGAGCTAAGATATTTGACATGAAACATCTTCTAATGAGTGTCTACCAAGTTTGTTCAAATAAAAGCCCTGGGGTCAAAATTGGCCCGGCCTGGGGGGGTCATTGATTTTCCCTATATGCATATAGTAAAAACTTAAAAAATCTTCTTTTAAAGAACTCAAAGAGCTAGAGCTAAGATATTTAGCATGAAACATGTTCTAATGGGTGTCTACCAAGTATGTTCAAATAAAAGCCCTGGGGTCAAAACTGGCCCTGCCCCGGGGGTCATTGATTTTCCTTATATGTGTATAGCAAAAACTGAAAAATCTCTTTTGAAAAAACCCAAGTAGCTTGAGTTTAGATATTATACATAACATCTTTAAATAAATATCTATAAAGTTTGTTCAAATAAAAGCCCAGGGGTCAAAACTGGCCCTGCCCCGGGGGTCATTGATTTTCCTTATATGTGTATAGCAAAAACTGAAAAATCTCTTTTGAAAAAACCCAAGTAGCTTGAGTTTAGATATTATACATAACATCTTTAAATAAATATCTATAAAGTTTGTTCAAATAAAAGCCCTGGGGTCAAAATTGGTCCCGCCCCAGGGGGTCATTGATTTTCCCTATATGCATATAGCAAAAACTTAAAAAATCTTCTTTTAAAGAACCCAAAGAGCTAGAGCTAAGATATTTAGCATGAAACATCTTCTAATGAGTGTCTACCAAGTTTGTTCAAATATAGGCCTGAGGTCAAAATTGGCCCTGCCCCAGGGGGTCATTGATTTTCCCTATATGCATATAGTAAAAACTTAAAAAATCTTCATTTAAAGAACCCAAAGAGCTAGAGCTAAGATATTTGACATGAAATATCTTCTAGTGAGTGTCTACCAAGTTTGTTCAAATAAAAGCCCT